GGCGGGGGCCGGGGGCGGCGGGAGAGGGCCATAGCCGGGCTGCGCCGCGTAGCCCCCTGCGGGGTAGTTGTACAGAGGCCCGGAGGGGCCGTACCCCGGCGGGGGCGGGGGCTGCAGTAGCGCGGACGGGGGTGGCGGGGGCAGCGCGGCGCCGGTCTGCGCGCAGTAACTTGGAGTCAGGTACCCCCCGCCGTAGCCCGCCGAGTACTCGGGCGCCGCCGACGGGCCCCCGCACGCGTTGCCGGCATAGAGGGGTTCAGGCAGGTTCCCAGCTAAAACCGGGGAGCCCCCAAGGCCCCCGGAACCGCCCCCACTGCCCGACTTGGTCCCCGGGAGGCCCTCGTGGAGTGAGGCCAGGGGGTAAGGCGGCTCGGGCCCTGGCCATGGCTCTGGGTCCCCCTTGGCGCCGTTGAGGAATGCGGAGTCGCCGTAGCCGCCCAGGGTGGGACGCTCGTAGGGTGAGTCCAGGACCCCCGAGTACTTCTCTGCGTAGCGTTTGAGGAGGTTGGAGGCAGTGAGGGCAGAGATGTCGTCGTGTGCCCAAGCATAGTGGCAGCGCTGGCGACCTCCAGGGGGCAATTCCAATTTGTGGGCTGGCGACGGGGTGGTGGAGGAGACGTCCAGGTGCTGCTCTGGCCATTGGTTGAGGGGCTGGGCGTGTTCTGGTGTCCAGTGCATCTTCGACAGAGCTGCAGGGAAGAGGGAGAGGGGGGAGGGACTTGGTGAGGTCCTGCAAAGCCTCTGAGGACCCATCAAGTGACCTCTAGCCACAGGACAACCTACTCATCCACCACCTACCATCCCATTCTCTTAGGGCTTCCTCCCTCCAGGCATCAAATACCCCTAACGTCCCAGGATTAAAGTTATCTGAAGATATTTTCTTCAGAACCAAGAGGGACCTGGAAACGATATGGTTAGCCCCAACTTCACCTTGTAGGCAATGGTTATTTTGTCCTGGCCACACGAGCTATCCCTGTGTAGGACACATGGCCCTTACCTGCAGACCTAATGAAGTCAAGGGCCAGACAGTAGGTGCCACACCCAGGCCTGGGACTAGTTAAAGCCAGGTGAAGCTCGTTTCAGTAACATGTTTGCTGCTCATTCACTCACTATATGCTGGCGGCTATAGTGGCACTAGGGCTGTGCCTGCCCAGGCTCCCTTGCCTAGTGGCCTAGCAGTTTGATATTCCTAAATACTCAGTTCACCTCAGCCTAACCTGGGGTTCTGAGGCCCCCTATGGGCCTGGGGTCAGAGGTGCTGGGGGTGGTGGGGGGTGGTGGCAGTGCCTCATCATCCTTGGGGAACCACAGTAGCTGAACCAGAACATTCACCCCTTTCCACTTGGTTTCTTTTGGCCTCTGCCTGATGAAGTCAGAGCACCAGGGTCCAATGCTGCTACCAACTGTCTTATTCCCAAAATGTGTCTCACCACAATATAAAAATATTATTTAGAATAGATGGATCATATTCTGGAGAAGACAGAGCAAACTGAGTATACAGCAATGCACATCATAGAAAGTGGATCACAAATGTGTCTCTGAGCTTCCTGATAACCAAACAGGGAGATGTAATCAGACTTACTTTGCAAAGTAAACAATACCATTACTCAAGAGAAGCAAAGATGTTCCTGGCATAGACATTATAGAACTTTTTTGAGATGTAGTAAACAACGTTCTTCTCAACTTCCATGCTGTAGACATGGCAAGAATGTTCCACAGCTGTTTCTTACACTGTCCCTTGGTACCAGTCAAGGCATGAGCCACACACTCTGGTAAAAGGGATTGGGGGCCTGGGGAACAGCACTACCCAGGCACATGGCTCCAGTGGGCTAGCCTGATCCTAGGATAAAATCTCAAAGACTGAATGAGCCATTGGCACACCGAGAGTTTCTGCTGATGATTGTTTCTCAAACCTAAACTTTTGATAACAGGTTTGCATATTCTGACAGGTCCCATGCAAATGTTTATTGAGCAAGTTGTAAGTGCTTTGCAAGCATGGGGCAGATTGAAAGGTGAAGGGGGTGGTTCAGCCAGGTGGAGGAGACATGGAGACATCATCCTCTGTGAAGTGAGAAAATAGAGGTGTGCGCCAAGGGCTCTGGAGCTCAGGGGAGCATGCCACACCTGGCTGAGAAGGCCTCACCAAGGAGGTGGTGTCTTTACTGGACCTTAGAGGGTGAGGGAGCAGACAGGCTAGAGGGAGCAGAGCATCCCACATCACAGGAACATTACCTTTAGAGGTGCAGAGCACAGTTCAGAAAGCCAGGGCTGTGCTTAGCTCATGCCCTATTCCTTTCCTCAAGGCACTTTACTGCCACTTTCTGGAAGCTTGTCATAATCTACAAATCTACAGTGTTTATGGTATGAATCATGCCCCTTTATAGAGGTGCAGAGCACAGTTCAGAAAGCCAGGGCTGTGCTTAGCTCATGCCCTATTCCTTTCCTCAAGGCACTTTACTGCCACCTTCTGGAAGCTTGTCATAATCTACAAATCTACAGTGTTTATGGTATGAATCATGCCCCTTTAGAAGTAGGGCTCTTGTGCAGTGCACAACTTACATAACCATACACTGCGAGCCTGTATAGAGCACCAAGAAATGTTGGGTCACCAGAGCTTTGAAAGTGGTGTATGTGGAGGTAATGTGAGAAGAAGCTGAGAATAATCAAGTCTCTTTTCAGGTTCTCCACAGTTAGCCTCACTTGCAGCAGCTTGTTGACAGCACCACCACCTCTGCTGAGTCTCACTACCTCTTATAGCTGTGCACTGACATCAATGGGAGAAGACAGTCTTTGAAAATAAAGCTACATACTCTCATCCCCACTGCCCTAGGGAAGGCATGAGCCGTTGATACTAACACTTAAAAAGAAAGGTAAGCAAGTTCTCAAGGTTATTCTGCCCCATGTGAAAAGTGATACTGGCCACCAGTGGTAGGAGAGAACAGAGACTAACAAAGCTGAGTGTGAGGCCTGTGGGGGCAGATGTGCAGCTTTCCAGCTCTCCCAGAGAGGGATTACATGGTGTCAAAGAGCTTAATTTCCTGGAACATCAAAAATCATAGTGGCTCTGGTTGCAGGGTCATATAAAGTAACCAATGCAAGTATTGTGTTACCACATGGACCCCAAAACAGTTTTTTTCTCTTTACTGTTATTTATGCTTTTGCTCCTTAATTAATGTGGAGAAAAGAAATTTGACCTTGATAAATAGCATTTACTCTGAACATATTAATCTGGACATGCTGGGGAAAATGTGACCCCCCTCCCAGAAGGACACAGACACAGTAAAGCAGGCTCTGGATCTACAGTGTCCACACACATCTCCTTCACCCCTGCCATCCTCCTCTTTGCTGTCATGTGGTGTCCTCCTTCCCTCATTCCCCAAAGACTCTTTGGGCCAGGCTCCCTCTCCCCAGCTCCTGCCCTGGCCTCCAACAATCTTCACTTCTTCCCCTCTCCCACCATGGGCTAGTGAGTGCTGTCTCCCTGCCCCCACCCCCAGGTCAGTTACAGCCCTCTTGCTCTCACACAGAATCACTGGACCTGCCTGGTGCCCAAGCCCTTGAGCTCCTGCCACTTTGCCTCCTGCAGGAGCCTCCAGTACCCATCTCCCCAAGAGAGGGACCCCCTGCTTCCCAGGTTCACAGACCATTCTCCAGTCCTCTATGTTAGCTGAGCCGGAGATGAGGAAAGACCCTGGGAAAGTGTGGGCTTTGAATCAGGGAGGCCTGGTTTGAATCCAGGACCAGACACTTGCTGTGAGACCCTGAGCGGGTTGCCTGATCTCACTGATGAACCTCAATTTCTCCATCTGCTAAAGGGCATAACATATGCCATGCAGAGTGGCTGTGAGGATTAAGAAAGATAATGTATGCAAAGTACACAGTCCAGTGCTGGGTGCAAATTAGTACAGGCAAAGAGCCTGCGTAATGCCCAACCTTGCTAAGTCCTTGGGGTTGGGGGGAACTTGGTGAATGTTCTATAAAAGGAGGTTCCTTCCAGCTCTGATGTGACAGACCAGTTCTTATGCTGTTTCCCCAGCACCCAAGCACTGAGAGCAGAACCAGCCACTGGTCTGTGTTTTCCATATCTGTGTAACCCTCATGACAGCCCTGAGATCAGCACTATTATCATCCCCATTCTACAGATGTAGAGACTAAGGTACCAAGAGATTCATGCATCTTTAAGGCCACAGAGCTCTTGCATAGTGGAGATACGATTCAAAACCCAGCACTCTGACTACAAAGCCCAGGCCCTTAACCACTTGCCTCTATTGCCCCTCTGGTCCAGCCCTTTGTTCTTACAGCCAGAGAAGAGCCTGAGGCGGTGACAGCTACACCAACATTCATTTCTTCAGGCCAATGGAAGCAGTTTCTATATTTGCCTGTAATCCTGGCTATGCCTCAAGTGCTTCAAACCAGGCAGGAGTCTCTGTGTCCTTTCCTGGCAAGACAGCCCACGTAGAGCCATCCCTTTCCCTGTGAACTTGCCATCAGATAGTCATATGCATCCCTAGGCTGGGCAAACAGTTCCTTATTTGGGTTTTGTGGCCTTCCCTGGTGGCATTGGGACCCTGTGGAGAAAATGCCCTCTTCCCACAACTGCCTAGTGTAGGGAACAAGGTCTCTTGCTCCTGAAGTAGCTCTTTCTCTGCAGACCCTTGAAGGTGAAGAGCTGTTGTACACATAGGAAGTTGGAATCCCACTTGATTCTACCCACAGAATGCAGTCTTTCAAACTTACAGGTAATCAATAAATTGTTAAAGAAAGAATTACTAGATGGAAGAGTAAACTAATTCCTAAAACCCTCCCCTCATTCTTAGGAAGTCTTCCAGGACTGATGAGAGAAATGATTCAGCCTTCTCCACTGACCAACACACTTATGCACTGATTTCACCACAATCCTGCTGTCCACATGGCTTGTGGTATCTGTCCTATCCCCGTGGCCATGGTCTCTCAATGCCTAGGGCCTGACAGAGGCCTTAGATCGATTCTCCATCCCTACCCCCACCTGGCATGCTGGGGCAGCACACACACACTGAGCTGTCATTGTGTGACCATCACTGTGTGGCTGTGGGCAAAACACCTAACCTCGCTAGGCTTCACTTTCTTTTGTCAATTGAGACAGTTGGTTTAGATGGGTAGACATCAAACTTTTCTTTTTCACTAGGAAACTCTTTAAAATAAATTTTATACCGCTAGGCTTCACTTTCTTTTGTCAATTGAGACAGTTGGTATAGATGGGTAGACATCAAACTTTTCTTTTTCACTAGGAAACTCTTTAAAATAAATTTTATACAGGGTGGCATGGGATCCCAGCCATGCAGTGTCAACACAAATGCCCCCTCTAACTCCTTAAGGAAGCCCCAAAAACCTCTTCCAGATCTTACAGAAATTCTGTGATTCTGGATTCCTTACCCATGGAGGAGGGAGGGGATTGGACCAAACAGAGCTTGAAGGCAGGGTGGGGAAGGAGGGGCAGCTGTATGGCTGTGTGGAGAGGGGGCCAATGCTCAGAGCTCCATTATCTCAGCCTGGGACAAAGGGGCTGGAGTGGAGAATCCCATTGTTGGGCCTCCTTATGGAAATCTCATTAATCTATTCACTGAGGCTCCCACAGGCCTTTTGTCCCAGGCTTTTTGTCTACTGCTTACAACTGGAGCCCTGGGGGGTCTCTGGCCGCC